TCCCCCTCCCCCCTCCCCCCTTTTCCTATGCATTGAACTCTGTCAGTAGCCGATCCCACACGGCGATCCCGACATTGACTCTGATGATGTCGTGTCTTCGCTGATCCCACGCGGCGATCCCGACATTCACGCCCCGCGGCGGGGTATCCGAAGCCCTCTAATCCTTCGCGGGTTGTGAAAGGAGCGCCAGTGTCCTCCGTTTTGTTGACTTTGACTCTTGATCTTGAGGGCAAGTTACCACACTGGCTATAGCGGGCTATGGCGGGTTACAGTGGGCTATGATGAGCTACGGTGGATTATGGCCGGCTACCGTCTTCACCCGAATAGAACGCCCGGTCGTTATCGCTGCACCTGGACCGAAAGTTGTGCCAAATACGGCTAAAATGACCGGGCGTTCTATTCGGGTGAAGACGGGAATGGGCTATGGCGAGCTGCAGTGGGCTATGGCGGGTTACAGTGGGCTATGGCGAGCTACAGTGGGGACTATGGCGGGCTAGAGTGGGCTATGGCGAGTTACACTGGGGCTATATCGAACTGCAGTGGACTATGGCGGGCTAGAGTGGGCTATGGCGGGCTATATATAGTAAGCTATTTTGGGGTTGTGGGCTATGGAAGACCATGGCCTGCTATGGCGGACTATAGCGGGTTATGACGGGCTATGGGACATTGTTTTGCTTATTTCCCCTCAGGCGCTGGCACTGTAATCGGGGTGTCTTATCTGTTTGAAAGAATCTTCACCACAAGATCTTGGCGAAATCTTTTGACAGAGCCTTGATAGAACCATGGACTTTTGGAAATGAATGGAGAAGTGGTGGAACGTGCAGAACCACATATTGGTTGACTTCATAGAGGTACGGAAAAATTAATAATTGAATATAAACCTATGCCTTATTTTGATGGATTAGATTATGTTTCTATGATGGCTGAGGGAAGCTGCACAGAAACTTCATTGCATCTTCTTCGTGAGAATCTTCTTTAATCGACGGAATCTTGACAGAATCTTGTTCTCTTGTTTGTGGTCCATGGTGTGCTTTTGATGCAGGAAACTTGTCGAGGATGTTTCTGGTCAAACTTTCTGAAGGGATGGATTTGACCAAGTTTTCTTGAAGGGACGGATTTGGCTGATGTGGCCCAGCCCCTCGCCTCGCCCCGCCCCGCCGCCCTCTGATAAGTGAAAAATTTGATGTGATGTTTCCCCGTCTGGACATGAGGACAAGGGTGTGAAGTTCTTTCTCTCTCCCTGTCAGTCTGTTGAGCTCTAATTAGTCATCATCAGTTTATCCCAATTATCGCCAATTAACTAAATCAGTAATCGGTAAGTGGCAAATATATCTCTGCTCGCCGATTGTTTCTGCTACTACCTCAGACCGTGTACCTGTCAGAGGCAGAGATGGCTCGACTTGTGCCAGCGGTCGCTGCCGCTGGCACAGTGGCTGGTGGAGCGTGTTCCAAGCAGCCGGGCTTGTTTCGCTGCTGGTCCTTTGGAGATGGCGGCGGTCGGCCGGCAGGCAACGGTGGTAGCGCAGCCCCACAGCAGCAGAAACAGCTTCTTCATATGAGTCCGGTCGTTGTGGGCGGTCAACGAGGCTATGGCGGACGGAGAGCAGCTTGCTCAGCCTGCTGTTCGTCATTCTTGACGAGGAGGAATAGCATAAGAGTGGCAGACTCGAGAGGATCTGAGAATGTGTCGCTGCGTCAGCGGGCTGGATGCCGCCGCCGCAGAGGTTTCAATTTCGCCGTTCGATGCGACGGCACGCAACCGGTATGATCCGAGCTTTTGATAGTTTCCTACGCCCTTTTTTTGGGGGGGGGAAGAGAGAGAGAGAGAGAGAGAGAGAGAGAGAGAGAGAGAGAGAGAGAGAGAGAGAGAGAGAGAGAGAGAGAGAGAGAGAGAG